GAATACACAAGTATATTCAGCTTGTGTGCAGCTACTTGAAATGGGTACACTCATATACACAGGTTTCAATTTAAAACAGTGTCCAAACATGAGTTACTTTAAAAATGAAGAGCGTAACAACCACCGATACCATGCCCCTCATGAGGGTCACGGGTGTGCTGGAGCCTATCCCAGCTGTCTTCCGGGCAGTAGGTGGGGTACACCCTTGAACCGGTTGCCAGCCAATCGCAGGGCACAAACAGACGAACAACCATCCGTGCCCACGCTCACATCTAGGGATAATTTTTGAGTGTTCCATTTAACCTGCCGTGCATGTTTTTGGGATGTGGACCACCGAGCCGCTGCCCATGTAATGTCCAGTCAAGTCAAATTTATTATAACATGTTAACCAGTCAACCACCGTGCCACCTTACTTTGCGATGTAGATCGTATAAATAGAGTAAAACAAGCTACTTATTTATAAAACTAATTAGGTTAGCCAACTAGCAGTTAGCTAACAAATATCAGACAAAAACTAATTCATTGTGAGGATTACATAGAAAAACTCCAGTGATGGAACTACTGTTGCTAAGCACAAACACTGAACCCCGGTGTTAGTCAACTCCTCTTGCTTTATTGACTGCCTTGACGGAGTTGGCGGGCGGGGAGCTAATGAAGATGCATGCGTCTCGCCGCCAGCAATGAAGTCGAGGAGCTTTTGCAAACGCGAGTCTTTAAACACATCATAAGTGAGCATGTTTACATACGAGGCAAACAAGCGATACATGCTCAGTGAGGCTGATTGGATCAGGCAGTAATTAAGCTGAGCAGCGTATGGACACAAGCTTTCACCATTAGGAATAAAGATGATTCTGATTCTGATATTTAAACTGGGACCAACAAGGGAGGCTCTGCTGGAATTCCTGAACACCACATATGAATGGGGGGGGGCATGCAGACTTCACACAGGACGGCCTGAGATTTGAACACAGATGCTCAACTGCGACGCAGATGTGCTAATCACTTGGCAACCGTGCAGCCATGACGATAAAGATTAGCTACAAAGGTCAAAACAAGGAATGAGCCAATGATGATACAGTCAGACCATGAAGGAAGTACTTCATTAGAAGCCCAAGTCAAAGCAAGCGGGTTAAAAGTGCTTTTATTATGCTTGCAAAAGCAAAATATCTGGTCACCACAAGGTCAAAACGCATTAAGATTACAAACGGTATATATTAGCAACATTTAACAAGTCATTCCGGGCGCGCGGGTGTATCTAATGAAGTGTGCAGGGAGCGTACGGCGTTTAGAATGTAAAAGTAGCGGCGATGCTCTGGCTTTGAACCTCCACGGAGACGCCTCTCTTTGGCAATAACTGTAACGGATGCGTCATAAAGCCCCCATATGGAGACGGATGCAACAGCTGAGAATTTCACCCAAGAGGCCTCCTCTTGGCTTCCCACACTATGATTTTTTTTTGGGGGGGGGGGGGGCATGACATTACAATAACGTTTCAAGTGAAGCCTTTCAACGTTGCTCCCGAAAACCTTGATAGCCTCCACTTGTCAATAATTTAGCCTCTGCAGCGTTTCCCTACGTACCACCTCATATAACTGCATTATGAATATGATGCCCTCGTCGTGGGATGCGGACTCCTCATCAAACTGCTGATGTGCGGAAAGAATCATGCCGAGAGGATCCATGTCTGAGTGATGCGTAAAATAGAAATATGACTTTTTCATGGCTTTCGTACAAATAGTTAGGTCTCTGAAATGCCTGCCCACGTCTCAACTGTAAAGTTACACAACCAATAATATTTGGGGTGAGCTGCCTGTGGAGGGGAAAAAAAGGTTCTTTATGGGGTGAGCTGCCTGTGGAGGGGAAAAAAAAGGTTCTTTAAATCGTCAGATTGTGGCCCCATTGGGCTGTCACAGTTATGGGTGTCTCCGCTGAATGTGCTGAAACCATCGACTCAATGTCAACTGTCAGTCAGATACCACTACAAGTCCTGGAATGAAAGATGCTAGTTTGTGTAGCTTTTTTGTTACGCCGACAAATAACTACATGGTTGAGACATGAAACTATCCAGTAACTGTTGAAAGCCTCCGGTGGCTGGAATATCTTCCGCCGAGTTGTCGTGGATCTTTTCCATGTCAGGACAAGGAGGCGCTCTTATGCGGCCATGGTCATCCAAAGCCCCTATCCGCACACAAGTCTGAGCGCCCCACCACTTTCCCATCTTTGTCTTCGTGACATGCGTGCACTCATGGCAGACAACGAGGAGCTCTAAAACCTGTCGTACGCCGAGCCGAGCAATCCGGCTGAACCAGACCGAACCCTCGTGCGGCCTAGCTTTCATGGGTGGCCCGCGGTCATCCACTTGTTTTACGCCGCCTTGCCAATCAAAATGCACCAACCCCAAAAATACGTTTCCGAGCTTTAAGCTAGCGAGACCCAGCCAACTGCCATCAAACCAGACAGTTTATACAGTACACATATGCTGTGTGATGCAACAATGCTTCGCGTAGACTATAATTATAATTTTACACGTATGTGTGGATGAAACGGCGAAACATGCACATGAGCAACGTACACTGTCCACCAGCTAGGGTCATTGAGTGAATGAGGTTAAACCAGCCTCACAAAAATATCCACACATTCACTTTTATTCTTGCCCACTTTGGGTCTTTGTAGCTTCTTCCTTGACCAACACACTATGTTGCTGTGGTTTAATTTGCTCGCATCGCTGGTTCTGGTCCTCGCTTGCTTGACCCAGTCTTCTGCCACTGTCTCACCTGGATAGACTCCCTCCAAGAAATTCAAACTCAAGCCACAGAGCCCTGAAACCCTGCAGCACTGTGAGATTGATTAATCTGCCTCGTGCCAAACCAATCTTCATGCTCCAGAGAACCACAATAAAAGTTATTACCAACTTAAGTCGATGCTGTAGTGCAGCAATTGGGTCGTTAACGCACCCGCCCCAATTTCTATTGTGGTGAATGATTTGGAAGACATACAGCATACTGTACAAACACTCAACGCAATCAGTTGCTCCCCGACTTGCCAATGTGCAAACAAACGAGAAATGAGAGTTACATAACTAACCACTTAGTAACATCTTGTTGTTTGTAAGTATTCATGATTAGTCTTACAAATGGTAACATAACGTACTGCAGTAGGGGGAGGCAGGGCGCACTCATTTTGAAAAAATAATCACAATTTTCCCCGTCACAGTATTGAAATGATTTGTTCAAGGTCCTCTGACCCAATATATATATATATATATATATATATATATA